AGCCAACAAAAGGGCAAAAGTCATAGCCAAGTGTTGAGTTATCCATCTTAGCAGGTGCCTTGGCCTTCTACTTCCACTTATATATATCCCTATCCTTATCCCGCTTGCCATTCTTATCTCTTGCCTTTTGCATTGCTTATGATCAAAACTCTGGCAAAGTGTCGTCCTCATCATTATCGCTTTTGTTTCAAGCTGGCGCCGGCGTTGCTGCTTCTGCTGCTGCTGCTGATGCTGCTGTCGCTTCTGCCCGCAGCGAAAGCACCATGGTAGAATCCTTTGGTCCTTTGGCGCCGGCCTGACACTTTTCTGACATTGTGCAAATGAATAATTGTGCTTTTCTTTGCCAGCAGTTCAGCCCGCCCAGCTACAACTACAGCTACAGCTATAGCCTTAGCCACAGCGACAGTCACAGCCCGACCACAACAACTGCACATCCGTTCCACATCGTTCGCTCAATGTCTCATCATCATCGTCGCCGTCGTAGTTGTCGTCAGCCTCGTTGCTCATTCGCTGGGCCGTTGTCATCGTCATCATCATCATCAACAACATCATCATGCTCATCAGCATCGTCATTCGCATTCGCATTCGCATGAGACTCGTCTGGCCTGTCCTGGCCAGCTTTGTTCATTCTATTCTGTCCTGTCCTGTCTCAAACTGGCCCGTCCGGCCACAGCCAAACAAGCAGCTAAACAGTCGCTTAGGCAGCCTGACTACTGACCCCTTTTCAATGGGCATCCGCTGGATATGGCCACGGGTAGCGCTGGACATTGCCATCCTCTTTTCCACACTGTTTGCCCATTCATTTTGTTTCTGTTTGCGCTTTGATTGACGGAGCTTCGCTGAGCTGAGCTCGACGCTGATGCTAACGCTTTTGCTGCTGCTGCCGCTGCTGCTGCTGCTGCTGCTGCCGCTGCATGTCCTTGCGCTTGTCCTTTCGCAATCCAATGCCATTGCGCTTTCCCAGCGTTATTAATGATTTCTCCAAAGTTTTCGCTACATTTTATGCTACATCTTCTACCCGGCTGGCCCCGGATGCTCTTGTTGTTTATTCTTGTTGCTGTTGCTGTTGCTCGTGTTGTTGTTGTTGTTGTTGTTGTTGTTGTTGGCATATTGTTGATTGTTCTTTTATCTCGTCTCTGTCAATTCGTTGCGTTATATTGCTGCGTTCCATTTGACTTTGGGTTTTGAATTTCCGCCGCATCCCATGGGCAGCCGGCGCTTTGGCCTCCACCTCATCCAGCATTGCTGCTGTTACAGCTCCGTTCCCCGGTTCCAGTTGTGCCCAAAGCTTCACGCTTTACTGTCGGGTTTCGGGTTTCGGGTTGCCAATGCAGCCCGTTGATGCTCAACAGCTTTTTGCAGTTTTGTCTTTCTGCTTACTTGCCCATTTCCCTTCAGATAAATACTTGTCAATCAGTTATTAATTGCTTTTCAAATTTTATTGAATTTGTGGTTTTAGTTCATTCGGTCGCAGCAACGTCTGATTGACAGGCAAATGCCCAAGTTTTGACTGTTCTGCATTTCGACTAAGCTCCCCAGGCTAATTAACCCAGACAATTCCCACAACCCCAGTAAGAAATCTAAATGCAACCGGCCCCAAAAGTCAATCAATGCAAGGAATATTGTGCATTTTCAAGTTAAAGACAAAGACAATAGCTGAAATACACAGCCTGAATTTGATTTCGGTTCAACACTTTCTTAAGGAGGAACCGTTTTTAATTACAAAAAATACATTTTTAGCTAAGCAAAAAAATATGGTAGAACTTGTGTGTTTAGAATGTTGGACATAAGATTAATTTTTCGACAAATATCAAATGTGGAAATTATTGTAGCCACAAAGGTTAGCGATAGGCTTAGAGATAGTATTCTAATGTTTATAAGGTATTGCGTTAGGTAACTGATAACTAGAGGGGATAATAAAGTTATTTATTATAGTTGCCAGAATATAACGATCTGATTCTGACGTATGCACATATTTCAACAAAAAAGTTCTTTGGTAGAAGCTCTTGTTTATTTAAATATATAAATTGTAACAGAATTGAATTTCAAATTATTTCTTCAAACTGCTATAGGATGAAAAAAACAAAAACTACAGAAAAAAAGTAAAAATGCACGCGAGACAAAAACTAGGAGATTCTCGGAACTCCGCGCCGAGCTGCAGGCACAAGTAATGTAGCTTCATTCTATACAATATGCACATGTAAAATACAATATTTCGATATCGATTCTTATCGATTTCTTTGAAACGGAAAAAATTCCCGATGATTTGAAATAAGCTGGCACATTGCTGGCACTGGGAGGATCTATATCTGATCGAATCTGAGATCGAGGGGTGTGAACGAACGGACGGACAGATAGACAGGCAGATAGACGGACATGACTAGATCGACTAGTCTATGGCTGCTGACCAAAGAATAAATGGGTTCGGAGATGGTTTCTTCATTATACTCTTTTTTGCCATTTTCAATGGGTTCAGGGTATCAAAACCAAATACGTTAATTTGCCAACTGTATGCTTAGTCTGCCATGACAGCCTCTCATTTTACAGTCAAATTTCTTTGGCATGGCAATTGCGATAGCGCACGTTAATTGCATTTCTTAGCCGTGTGATAGACGACGACATTCAGCTTGTCAGCTGGCACTGACACAAGACTAGCGAAATTAACACCAAGTGATGGGTGTGCGGCAATGTATGTGTGTGTGTGTGTGTGTGTTGCAGAATAGACAAAAGAAGAGATATGCACACATAGAGTACCTCTACCACGACGAGCAATGCAACAGAGATGGCGCTACGAAGCCACAGTGCGATGCACAAGAGCTAACGGTGTGCACAAAAGGTGTGTGACCACATAACTACACTCATGCATGCACACACACACACACACACACATACAGACAATGGCAGCTGTGGAACAGCGAAATGCAATTAGAAAATAGATGTGGCCAGTAGATGCTCATGATGTTGGTGAAATACATGAATGGAACCACAGCAAAGACCACACACCGCTTGCACATTGGGCGCGCACACTCTCCATTTCATTAAATGCGCTCGAATGTTTATTAAAATGCATGAAATACTTTTAAAAACAATGCAGAGGTCGGCCGAGCACTTTGTTGCTGTCATGTTTATGAGACAGCTGCTGCGGCAGCAGCATTGCCAACAACAACAGCATTTAATGACAACACCAACAACACATCTGAAAGTAATTGACTCTGCGCCTCACTAGCGATCCAATTGCCATGGCTATAGCCATGCTGCTGGCCACAGTCCCCCAAAGAGATAGAAACTCACAGATACCGACTGCGACAGCGACAGCGACTGCATATGCAGGCTCTGGCTTAGTTGGTCGTTTTGGTTTACTTTAGTTCTGCATTGCTGGCTTGCAACATATGCAAATGGCCCCATTGTTGTTGTTGCTGTTGCTGTTCGCGCATCTGGCAACATCTTGTTGAGCTGTCAAAATATGCTTGTTAACAACATTTGTTGCACCGCACCAACAGCTCCAACAACAGCTTGAACAGCAACAATATGCTCAGACCCGGCCATGCATTAGACTAAACATGTTTACAAGACATCAGCAACTTTTTAGAGTGCACGCTTTTAGAAGCTGCTTTCCATTTAATTTCTGACAGCAACATTTTTTCATTTGTGGTTTTAAATTTGAAATTTTTTATAGTTTATTTTTTTTTCCCTTACTTAGTTAAAAGGCGACAAAAATAATCAAAAGAATTGCCGTTGTTTTTGTATTTAGCTAGCATGTTGTTCAACTTTATCTCTTGGTAAACTTTCCATAAATAGCCAAACCCAGTTCATTCCATGCAAAAGATATGTGTGTGAGCAGCCGCCTTGGGCGTGCGTTTGTCTAATAGATCAGCATCAGCAGCAGCAGCAGCAGCAGCAGCCGCAGCAACAGCAGCAGCGACTCAAATGTGCTTTTAGGCCATTTATCATCTGGACGCTGTCTGCAATTTCAGCGACTGGGCGGCGTTCGTGTTGCTGCAACAACAGCGGCGCGCGCCGTTTCTGCCTCTGACTCTGCCTCTGCCTCTGCCGCTGCCTTTGCCACATCCTAAGCATGAAATTCGAGCGACGTGCGCGCACAAGGTGTCTGCATTTCAACGCCCCAGACTCAGAAGCAACAGAGACGATGAGATGAGACCCCCACGGTATGGAACTGAAACCTGGACTAACCGCTAATATTGCAGGCAGCACGCTGCTGGCCAGCTTGGCTTTTGCTTCATTTACACTGAAATTATTCAGCATAAATCATTTTAATGTTGCGTGATTTTTAGACGGCCATTTAGCGGCCCCCGAATGTCACTTAAAATCTGGCACATTAAAAAGACAACAGGCGACAGCAAGACGAGGGTTAATCCATGAGTTTCAGACACATGAACAGCAACTACAACGTTTTAAAGCGAATTTTAAATTAAAATAAATGCAATTAAAATAAATTCTATAAATAAAAAGAGGTCATTTGAATTCAAATCAACAAATGAATATGTATTTAAATATAACACAACGTTTTTATAGCGAAATTCTTGGTAAAAAGCATTTCTGTGTTTATGCAAAAAAGGCATAAATACAAAAATTTGATATAAATTCCGTTTGTAATATTTTTCAAGCAACTGTCAGGGCTTGTTAAATGTTAAGTTTTTAATAAACTTTTATTTTTTTATTTATTTTATTATTATTTTTTTTTTGATTGCTGGAAAGTGAAAAATATCATATTCATATTCAAATTTTGTTGCCCTGACAGCTGTCGGCTGTTGAAGAGACGGCGAGGCACTAAGTACATAGAAATGAGTTCACATTATAATTACATACGATGTGGCATCCACGTAAACTTTTTTGGCCGTGCTTTAAACCATCAGACAGTGAAAATTATGCAGATCAAAGCGCGCGCGCACACACACACACACACACACACAATTAGATACATATTTAAGTGATATATTATACACAGATGTGCTTTGAAGTTCCTCTGGCCAGATTCAGATTCATTTCAGCTTTGAGTTGGCATTCGCAGGAATCACATCTTTTAGTTCGCAGCACAAATGATACTTTGTTGTCGTTTGTGGTCGATTGTTGTTTGTTGTTGATGTTGCCGATGTACAACATATATATGTATGTAAAAAAATTTCATTAGTATTGGCATCATAAGATTGTTATTGTTGCCAGACAGTTTTATACCACGTATAAAGCGTATGCGACTGTCTGGCTAATGGCTCCTGCAACTTACGCCATCAACTTTGGGCCTGCAGCGTGATCTTTGCAGAAAGCGCATTATGTGAGGCGGCATGTGTTCCTTGTACATGGCATATTGGCGCAGTACAAAACGGCAAGCGCTAAAGTGCACACATTGGCCAACGTTTTTGTCGGGTGTTTGGCAGCTGGGTTCTGTCGGCAGATATAGATAGAAAAATATCTAAGTATAACTGTGTATGTGTGTGTGTGTGTGTTAGCCATAATCAATGGCTGGCTTACGTGTGTGGCAGAAAGTTGGCAACAAGATGACGAGCCAACAGCAACAGCAGCAATAGTAGTAGAAGAAGAAAATCAATCGAAATGTGCGCCGCATTTTGAATTTGAAATTCAAAAACAGCCGCCGCCAGCAGCCAGCAGCCCGCTGATGATGTATTAAAGTCGCGTTAAGGTCTTATGCGCTTTAAGCGGCCACAAGACACAGACTGTTGCGGAAACCGAAGCTGGGCAACAGATTGTTGCTCAAGTAAACAGCTTGGGCGCTTGGGCAACTTTTGATAAGCGCGACCGAGCGACTCAGCTACCGAGCGGAGGCAGCGCTTATCAGCGGCGTGCAAAACAAGAGGCCAAAAAAATATGTACATAATATGTAAACAAAGGCACATGCACACACACCCACACACACACGCACACACAGCTAATATGAACTGTACACATAAGCTATAGCTGTGGCAGCCATAAACACATGTTTTAGCCGGCGCACACCAGTATGAACCCATGCTTTGCTTTCAGTTTGAACACCCTGGAGCCCTGCTTTTGGCGGGCTGGGTGGTTGTTTTGTTGCAAAGGCAATGGCAAATGGATATTTATTATACATCTATGTAGATTTATTGCAAAGTTGAAAATGAATTCAAAGCGTGTGGAAAGTAGCAGCTGACTCGTTGTCGTCTTTGTTGCCTGCCCGCGATATATGTATTTGTTGATAAAATTGGCCTAACAACTGTCTATATATTAAGAACATTTTGAATACATTGCCGCCAATTAAATTAAAAATTATATCAACTTCAAATTCCCTAATTCCACTCCGCAACATCCATTTGCTTCAAAACAAACCAACATTAAATATTAAATGAAAACTAAAACTTGTGCCAAGCACACAATCAATTTAAAAGCCAACGATCGTTATATTATTCGAATTAATCAATGAGTGTAACTAAATAAAGTGACTGATATTTGTGCTTTTGCATTGCATTTCTACTAATGAGTAAAATAACTTAATCAGGACTATATTCAATTTTGACTGAAGCACGCTTTTAAACGTTTCTACTTTCCATGTGTGTGTGTGTGTGCTTGGACGTAGTTTCGTTTGTATAATTTTAATAAAAATGTAAATTTATTTTGAGCTGCCTAAGGGGTTTCTGGCACATGCAAAACCAATAAAAAGATATTGCTCGTTATGAGCTTGGCGGCCGTTTTGAAAAGCTGTGCAATTTCCATGCGCTCAAAAAGGTGCGCATGAAGTTTGGCAGTATCGTTTCCGTTATTATTGGCAAGTTTAAAGTTTGGCCCCGTAACATTATGTCAATATTCAGACTGAAAATCCCAGGCAAATGTGCGACTGGGATGCTTTTACTACGACCATACTTGGAGAGTGGATATCGCAAATATGGCTTAAAGAAATAAAAATATGAACTGTGGGGAGAACTTGGCTCAATTTCATTGGACATCACGGAGACATTTCACAGTCTACTAATATATATCTAAATTCGCATAATTTAATAAATAATATATTATATGAATATTATTTTTAACAAAGAATATATTTGCTTGTAAGCCATCGTTTCGATTTAACTGCGCAACTTTTGATTGCCTTTTTCCAAATTTAAATTGAATTTAAACTGTTTTTAACACCCATGCCAGCCCGTAACTTTCTTCGTACACTGGCCATAACGTGGATATTGACGAAATGTTGACTGATTTAATGGACATTGAACCATTATCAACTACATTGCAAAATACAGTCAAGTGGTGAAAGAAGCATTGCTTGCTCATAAAACCCGCACATCATTAAATTCCCCACCGCAGCGAATGGCCCCAATAATAACAAATAAAAAAGAAACAAATTCCAGCCTGCTTAAGCTAACTTGGCCATGCTACTCAGATCATCCTCGCACCCAGCCTATTCCCCCTTTAAATGTCCGTACGCACTCACATATGTAAACGTTTAAGTACGATATTTAGATATGTGTACAAAACATGCCGGAACCGAAGCATAAAAACCGAAATGCGCATAATAAAAAGTCATCATCATAGACATATAGACCCATGTGCCCCATCGGAGCGATGGTTCCATCGTCATGGTTTCAGCCCTTTTACAGATGTGCGATAAAACAACGCCACGGCGACAAAGGGCATCGAAAATATGAGAAACAAAGCATAAAATAAAACACTTCGAACTTCGAGTTGACAATTTGAAGACGTCAATAAAGTTCCAAAGCAGCTCGATGTCAACTCTTCTGTTGTTGTTGTTGTTTTTCTTGTCATTGTTGTTGCTGCTGCATGCGTTTTCGCTTTTGTCGTTTTTCCCAATAAAAATTCTTTAGAAATCATTTAGAAAACGCATGCATGCACATCATATGCACGCCCACGGCCCCTCCCTTACGCCGCCCCCAACAATGCCAGCACATAGATAAAACGCGTGTCAGACACGACACTGTCATGGATCATGTGTCAAATTGTGACTTGCACTTGCAGCAGCAGCAGCAGCAGCCGTAGTATCAGTGTCAGCAGTAACTGCAATGGCAACTAGTAACCAGTTGGCATTTACCTGGAACAGCATCCGATGCCAGTTGCAATACTCGGCGACCGGGTAGCAGGAGTTGGAGACCAAGTTGAAGACGTCTAGTATGAGAAGAAGACACTCGAGTGCTCAGCTCGAGGCGACAGCAAACGGCACACGCAAATGCACTTTTTGATTGCCTTTGGCTGCTCTTATCTGTCTCTGGCTGTTTTTCTTATGAATACCAAAGTGTAACACAGCGACTGAGTCGCACAATCAGACTTGGATTGTTGTTGCATTGTCGTTTTATTTGATGTTCGGGTAAAAGCTTTTATCAAAAATCGTATTGCATGCAAATTAGATTCCTCTCGGATCTCTCTCGTACCTACAACGATGCCCTCACTGTCGCTATGAGCTGCAATCTAAAAAAATATACACGTTGCCTTTTATATGATGATGCCATTGTCGTTGATGCTGCAGATGTCTCTTCCACAGCGGCTGATGCAGCTGCTGCAGCTGCTTGTGCTGCTGCTGCTGCTGCGGGCCTGCTGATAAAGACACCGACGACAAAGCTGCCAAACGCTGATGATTCAGACATCGCATCCAGAGCTCATTCTGCTGCTTACGACCAAATTGTTGTTGCTGCTGCTGCTGCGCTTTGGTCTTTTGTCGCAGGTCTCAATTGACTTGATAAACTTCTTCCTACAATTTTTTTCAATTCTATCGTACGCTTTTGCTTGTTAACGTCAACTGACTACACACGCACACACACACACACACACACACATACATACACACACCATAGCACGCACACACATACACAAAAGGGAAATGCAGGCGTAAAATGAGTTCGCTTTTTCTTTGGACTCTATCGAGCACGTCTTATCTCTAGTCGCATACGTATATGGTCCATGACAGCGGCGGCTGAGACTCTAGCTGAGGTTCCAACTGAGGCTGAGGCCGTGGCAGCGTAACAACGCCGGCTTAAACACACTCGAATGCATTTCCATTTCATGGCTATGGCTTCATTGCCGCCAAACGTCGTTGTCGTCTGCCGCTTTGTCTGGTGGCTATGCGCCAACTTGCCATATAAATGAAGGGAAAAAAAAAATAGAGAACCAAGTACCGACGCCGCAGTCGTCGTCGACGTCGTCGCCGCTGCTGCTGTTGGTGTTATAGCGTTCATCGAAGCTTAAGGTGTATAAATCACACACAATGCGGTCTTTTGTAGTTTCAGGCGACACACACACACACACACACACACACCATGCCCGGCACTGATGCTGCAGTGAAAAAGTGCGCAGCGCTTAGGTTTTTTGGGTCTAAATTATTGCTCTGTCGTTCCGCTTTAAAGCTGCACTCGGTGTTTGGGCCAGATGTTCATAGTTTCCGCTTAGCATTTAAATAATAATAGAATTATAATTTATTTTTAACAATTTGTCGCACTGTTTGTAATCATTTGTTAACTGTCAGGCGCTGCAATGAGAAGGCGTCTAAGCCGCTTAACAATAAGTATACGAGACGAAAAGAGAAAAAAACGCAAATCAACTTCAGAAAACTCATAATACCTTATAAAACGGCAGCCACTTGAGTTACGGCCCACAGCCGTATCGGCCAAATGTCGTCCGATGAATAGCCAGAAATATTTAAGAGCTATATTTAAAATCAAATAAACACATCTGCCAACAATCAAATGCTTGCCATACTGTAAATTGAGCTTAGTTTCGGTATACTCAAGACTCGACTGACGTTGGCAACCAAATGAAAGTGCAGGCAACTGCAAAGCGACCCACTCAAGTGCAAGTTCAGCGCCAGCCTCAGGCAAGCGGCTTAGCCTGGATTGTATTGGAATTTGTTTATGGCCAACGGCAACTTCATAGTTCCACAGCGGGAATGGGGGAGGGGGAAATGCAACTCTTTGACGCTCTGGCGCCATAGAAACAAATTTGTACACATGTTTCTGTCATTTTATGGAATTATGTGCAACGCAAACGACAAACGAAATAAAATCATTTTCCTGCTTCACAGACCGAACATACTTTTTTCCACAACATTTGCCCCGACAATGCACTGTGGCTGTGAAAACTCAAAAATGCAACAAAATTGTTTGCAACCAAATTAATTGGTAGTAGGCTCTATTCGTAACTCTGGTATGTATATGGATATGCATATATTACACTAAATCCTTCAGCTAGAGGCTAGCTGCTGGATTTAGCTATCAGATCTTCCTAAAAGTATTATCAAAGCACGATGGGATCGGAAATATAAAAATGAATATATAATAAATTTAATGGAAATCGGTGAACAGCCCGAAACAGTATGCATTTTATGAATTGGCATTCCATAGTAAAAACAAACTTTGCAAAGCACAAACATGCCTGTAAAAGCAAAGGGTACTTGTATTTATAATTCGTCGATATAAGTGTCACATATTAATATAGAATAAAGTATTTACACAAATCTCGAGAGTGCTTGCTGTAAAATGAATTTAAGAGCCAACTGTCGAAAGACATAAGGCAAAAGTTCTCGATGTGTACGTGCCACGCAGAATGTCATAATAAATCAGGCCATTAAAGTATTATTTCACAATCAGTGGC